GCTAGGGATGACGTAGTAACAGGGAAGGGAGCTTATCATGGTGCCTCGCACTCTTCTAAAGCTTTGCTTTAACTCAGTCCAGCAATAGCCCTAGGAAGTAGTCCCAGCACCCCGTTTTACAGATGAGAAAACTGAGGCACAGGGAAGTGGAGTTAATTCCCAAAGACACCAAGCCAGGAGGTGGCTCAGTGGGGATTTGAACCAGCATCTCACATGCTGAGACTGGGTCCTGGTCGCACATAGACACTCCCCTCTAACACACACACACACACACACACACACACACACACACCACACACACACACACACACACACACACCCCCACACACACCCCCACACACACACACCACACACACCACACACACCCCCACACACACACACCACACACACCACACACACACACACACACACACACACACACTCACCACACACACACACACACACACACACACTCACCACACACACGCACCACACACACACACACACACACACACACACCTCTGTAGCTGTGCCGAGGCCACTCCTCTGGGGGTAGGAAGGGGGCGGGACGGGGGCAGGTCCCCGCCTCCAGGAGGAAGTGCCGGACGCTGCTGGGACCCGGGGGCCGCCACCACCGGTCCTCGGGCGTGGACAGGCCATGGCCGAGCCGCCACTCTACCCGGTGGCGGGGGCCGCGGGGCCGCAGGGCGATGAGGACCGACTCGGGCTTCCCGACGGGTCCGGGGCCCCGGTGAGCGGGGACGGGGGGCGGGCCGGGTGCTCCGGGATGGGGTTGGGATGCAGCCCCGGGGCGGGCCGCGGTGGGGTGGGAGCCCGGCCGCCGTCCGTGCCAGCGCCGTGCCTGCCCCGCAGCTGGACGAGCTGGTGGGCGCGTACCCCAACTACAACGAGGAGGAGAGAGGAGCGCCGCTACTACCGCCGCAAAGCGCCTCGGGGTGCTCAAGAACGTGCTGGCGGCCAGCGCGGGAGGCATGCTCACCTACGCCGTCTACCTGGGGTGCGAACCTGCCCCTGCCTGGCCC